ATAAATGAAAAGTAAACATGTATATAAACCCTTGAGTGTATTTTTTTTGTGAACATATGTTTTCAACTTCTTTGGGTAAATACCAAGGAGTGTGTTTGCTGGATCATATGGTAAGAATATGTTCAGTTTCTCAGAAACTGCTTAACTGTCTTTCCAACGTAGCTGTACCATTTTATATTTTCACCAGCAATAAACAAGAGTTCCTGTTGCTTTACATCCTCACAGCTTTTGGTATTGTCAGTGTTTTGGATTTTGACCATTCTGATAGGTGTTTAGAGGTATCTCTTTGCTGTTTTAATTAGCAGTTCCCTAATGACATAAATTGAGCCATACCTTTTCACATGATTGTCATCTGTACATCTTCATTCAGATGATATTTTCCTAGTTTTAAATCAGTTTGTAAAAAGTTACTGTTGAGGGGCTGGGGGTAGATCACCTGCCTAGCAAGTGGAAAGCCCTGAGTTCAAACCCCAGTTCCACCCAAAAATTATTACTGTTGAGTAAAATAAAATGGGACAGTGTTTATTCTTCCTCGCTATAAGCACACTGACTTCACTGTTTGCATTTCCTTTTCCTGGTAACCACAGCACAAAGACAATGTGTTCAACTGCAAGGGTTTTGACACTTCTCCCCAAATAACATTCATATGAATTTTAACAAAACCATATTTACTTTGTGTTACTTGACTACTCCTACCTTAAAAATACATCAGGTGCTTCAGAACATCTGCAAGGGCTAGATATTTCAAAAAAGGAGTCAGCATAGTTAGCTATATATACAGTAATGAAGAATAAAATGCACACACAAAACAATGGTTGTAATTAAAAAAAAGTCATTTCCATTCAACCAGTCTGGTAGTGGATCTTTTCCCTCTCATGGTCTTTTGCTCCATGTCTTCTCACCCACTGAGTAAATATGGACAAATGTCATTCTTGCTGTCACTTCTAGAAGCGGTCTAACAACTCCATTCTAACAACTTCCAGAAAACATTTCCTTGCTTTTTAAAAACACACTTGGGCATTTATGACACTTGTAATTTTCTACTCTACTTTATCATATGTTAGCAATCTCTTGAATGTCAAGGTGAAACAAAAGTTTTATTTTAAAAGGTTGAAGGTGTGGGCACCTGTGGCTCACACCTATAATCCTAGCTACTCAGGAGGCAGAAATCAGGAGGATCATGGTTGAAATTCAGCCCAAGCAAATAGTTCACAAGATTCTATTTAAAAAAATACCCATCACAAAAAAAAAAAGTTTGGTGGAGTGGCTTAAGTGGTAGAGCACCTACCTCGCAAGTGTGAGGCCCTGAGTTCAAACTGTAGTACCGCAAAAAAAAAAAAAAAAAAAAAAAAAGGGTTGGGGGAAAGCGGACAGCAGCAGCTTTTTTTTTTTGGCGGGACTGGGTTTTGAACTCGCAGCATTGCACTACAGAAGGTAAACATTCTACCACTTGAGCCATTCCTCCAGCCCGAAAAGGGCGGGTTCGTATTATGTATATAAGATTACTACAGAGGCCCAATGTTCAGTGGGCGTTTCCTTGTGGGTGTTTCCTATTGGCTAAGGATGTAAATATTCGTTGGGCTTTTCCTATTGGCCCATGTGTCCTATCAGCATACCCTTACGCTGTGATGGCAAGAAGATGGTCAGTCCTTTGGGGCTCAACTTACGTTAGAGCACCGTTAGCGCACCCTTAACATTCGGTATGGGGAGAATGTTAGGTGTCGCCTGTTAACGTCTTATCTTTGTTGTTGGGAGGATGTTAGGTAGTTAGGTATCACCCCGCTGGAACATAGTGGTCACCTAAGGACCCAGATCTCTGGGTCTTTGTATATCTTGGTTAATTGTCCTTTATCCAAGATGTGACTCACAGATTTTCTCGAGTCTGTGGCTTTTCTTCTCATTTGAAGTTTTGTAGTATTTTCTTGAGGCCTTTGCATCTATATTCATGGGGATTTTTTTTTTTTGTGGTGGTAGTGGGGTTTGAACTCGGGCATTCTCACTTACTTGGCAAGTGTTCTACCACTTGAGCCACACCCCAGCCCTCATAGGAAGATATTGATCTCTAATTATCTCTTCTTGTGAATCCTGGCATCAGGGTAATATTGTTAGCATAAAATGAGTCGGTAAATGTTTCCTCTTTTCTGTCTTTTTAGAATTCTGAAGAATCCAAATTTTCTTTTTTATTGGTGTGGATTAAATTGTATATTCCATATGTGCACATAATGTACCTTGATCATATTCACTACCTCTATCACTCTTTCCTTCTCCTACTTCCTCCTACCCACTTTTCCCCATCCACCTACCTTTTCAGGTCAGGTTATCTCAGTATTCAGGAAGGACCAGGTAGTGACTACTGGAGTAGGGATGTAGTTCAGTTGCCAAATTTTAGCCTACGTGTTCAGGGCACTGTTAGGGTGCAGCCAGATCCCTTGCACCAGTCAGAGAGATGAAAAGTAGCTATAGTCTCTTGTAATTCCTGCTGTTCAGGCTGGCTCTGTATGTGGCCTGAGGGCGACTGATCAGGGTCAGTTGTTGGCTTCAGGGCTGCGCTCACTATAGAAGCTTCCCTTCTTTGTATATCTGGATTCTCTGGTCATTGCAACAAACTTGATTCCTTTGTTCCAGGCAGATTCCCTCTTGTTTTACAGCCCCCCCCCCCAGTTTGTGCCCCCAGGGGCAGCAATTATTCAAGCCTTGAGGTATCTTCCGAATGAGAGAGAGAGAGAGAGAGAGAGAGAGAGAGAAAGTACGCAGATAGAGCATTGAATTCTGTACTGTAGAGGGAGAACCTGACAGACTGGTCTCAGCACTTTTAGACTCCATCTAGCATTTAACCACCCTGTGGGAGGGAGAAGGCTAGAGAAATTGAGTGATCCATGGGATCTGGGCTTAGAGCTCTTAGTCCTACTGGTAGCAAACCACATGCAGTGAGGGGGCAGCTTCATAGGCTGAGCAATCTTCCAGCTATGGGCTTGGAACTCTGTTTTTGTAAGGGATCCTCAAGTGATAGGGTTTGTTGCTTACCACAGAGGCTGGGGCTACCGAAACTACTCAGTGGGTCCACAGCAGGCTCACAACCTCTCTCCACCACCTCCCATGCCTGTCTCCCATCCAGACAAGGTGACAGGGTGTCTTCAGGCTCTCTGAGCCGCATTTGTTTCTTGTTTTCAGCTCATTCTCAAACAATAAGACCCCTCTCAAGATGGCTGAGATATGGAAAGTGACAAAATGGCTTTTTTCCTGCAATTTTAGCCTTCCATGCATAAGCCACTGTCATACTAAATTTCCCCGTTGGATTTAAAGCTTGTAGGCTTATCGTATGACTAGGTCTGCCTGTGTGACTTTCTCCTACTTTATTCTGTTCAGTTTTTTTTTTTTCAGTACAGGGGTTTGAACTCTGGGCCTACATCTTAAGTCACTTTACTAGCCCTTTTTTGTGATTTTTTTTTTTGAGATAGGGTCTTGTGAATTATTTGTCTGGGCTACTTTGAACTACAGTCCTCCTGATCTCTGCCTCCTGAGTAGCTAGGGATTACAGGTGGGAGCCACTGGCACCCGGTCTGTTCAGTTTTTTGTTTTGTTTTGTTATAGCTGTTCAATCACCTCTTCAGTAAGTTGTTCCCAATGCTCTTACTCTCTTTGGAATATAGTCCTTTGCTACCCTGCCTCTGTTCATTCTTGAAGTCACAGGGAAGAAGCTTCTAGTCCATCCTGCCCTGCCCTGTGGATATTTAAAGAGAACTGTGGATAATCAGTTCTCTTTAAATATGTGATATAATTACTTTTCTGTATGGCTAGGTTTTTGATGACTAATTTAATCTTTTAAGTTGTTATGGATCTATTCATGTTATGTATTTTTTTCTTGAGTCAGGTTCATTAATTTATGTGTTCACATTTGTAAGTTATTTTTGGTGTATGGTTCTTTATAGTTTTCCTTTATAATCCTTTTATTTTGGTAAGGGTAGTTGTAATATCCCCTCTTTTATTTCTGATTATAGTAATTTACATCTTTTCCCCCTTTTTTCTTGGTCAGTGTAAGAGCCTAAGGTTTATTCCGTTCTTTCAAACAACTATGTTTTGGTTTCACTGTTTTTTCCCCTTATTTTCTATTCCTTATTTTATTAGTTTCATTAATTTCTACTCTGTTCTTAATTCTTTTGTTTGCTTTAGAGTTAGTTTGCTCTTATATTTACGGTATTATGGTGAGGTAAAATAAATTATTATTAGGCCTTTTCATTTTTACCATAAGATGGAGCTTAAATTTTCTTTTAATGGGAAATAGATTAGAAAATTACAATAGAATATATTTGTTCTCTCACATTAGTGCATATTAATTGTACAAAGGGATTTCATTGACAGAAAATGTTTTGATACCAATTTATTTTATTTTATAGAATAAAATAATTCAGCACTTTATAAGAAGTGATTAGTATGTCAAATGACAGTGATTCTAGCTAGTCAGAATGTTCTAGGACATTGTTTTTGATAGGACTGGGATTTAAACTCAGGCCTTCATACTTGCAAAGCAGGTGCTTTACCACTTGAGTCACACCTCCAGTTCATTTTGCTCTGTTTATTTTGGAGCTGGTGGTTTCGAGAACTATTTTCTTGGATTGGCCTTAAACCTCGATCCTCCCAATCTCAGCTTCTCAAGTAGCTAGGATTACAGGCATGAGCCACTGGCACCTGGCTGCTTCCAGGAATATTTTAATACAAGTAAGTATTACCAATTTGTTCTATACTTCATAGCTTGAAAATGGGTTCATAGAGCTGTATGTATTGGTGTTCTGGTTTTTGCTTTTTTGAGTCAGGGTCTTGCTTTGTATCTCAGACTGGCCAGGAACACTCTGCATAGCCCAGGCTGGCTTCAAACTCATAATCATCCTGCTTCAGCCATCTGAGCTGGGATTATAGATGTGTGCTATGATGCCTGACTTGGTGTTGGATTTTATAATACATTGAAGAGATAAATACTATTCTTTATTGCTTCTTTTTTTTAGATAAAATCAGTGGTTCTGGAAATAATTCTGATCTGATGGAAAATAGCAAGGAAGAGGTAAGTATAATTTGAAGCATTTAAAGGAATTCATTAATTATTCATAACCAACTACAATGTATGTCATCATATTGCTTCTTGTTAATATGTAGTTGTGTTTAAGGCTACTGTTTTACCCAGTTCTTATTGTGAAACTTCATTTTGGTGGTTGTCCAGTTTGAGAAAATATTCATTGTTTTTGTTAAGCTTCATTTCAGCAGCTTACCGTAAGTCAGAAAATTGAAGACTTGGTAACAGATGGGGATTTAACTACCATTATATTTTATCAGTGGTGTTTGACATGGACATTGTAGACATGGCTTCACTGGTCTGAGACTTCTTAAAATTTGGTGTTCAGAGTTTCCTAGCATTGTTACAGCAACCCATGCTGAGGTTTTTCACCTGGTGAGGAGGCCTACAGTATGGTTTCACGATTCTTTCTAACTAGGGTAAAAAATTGATGCCATTATAACATATTGATGATACTGGAAAAATGAGGATAAATTTAGTATCTCAAAGGAAGTTATAGAAGTAATTCTGTGCTATATGTATGATACAGAGAACAGCACATTTTTACATCCTTAAATCTCCCTTCCTCTGTTGGTACCTGATTACTACTTCTGTACCTTTATTTTGTCTTTGTTAAATGGGACAGGAATCATGGTAAGCAGGGAAACTGCCTAGCTCACTAGCATGCATCAGCAACAGTGAAGAAAGAAAGAGGGGGCTGGTGGAGTGGCTCAAGTGGTAGAGTGCCTGCCTAGTAAGCATGAGGCCCTGAGTTAAAACCTGCCAAAAAAAAAAGCTGGGGATTTAGCTCAGTGCTAGAGTGTTGCCTAGCATGTGTGAAGCCCTGGGTTTGATTGTTAGTACCACAAAAACAAAACAAAACAAAAGACAGATATTTGGGGCTGTGGGTGTAGCTCAGTGGTAGAGCCTATGCTAGAGGCCCTGGGTTCAATCTCTACCAACAACAACAAAAATAAATTTAATCTTTAGTCAATAAATGAACATTAGGGTCTTTTTGGGGAGAGGTGTTGGGAATTGAACCCAGGGCTTTGTGCATGTATGTGCTTTACCACTCTGGTATATCCTCTAAGAATTTGTTTTTGAAGTTCCTTTTAGAGAAATATTTTAGGCATATTAATAACATCTCCTTATATTACTATATCAAATATCTTACCATACAGACATGGCTAATTGTAGGATTGTCGCTGAGACAGTTTTATTCACCTTTGTATTTTTTTGTCATGTTTAGGGAACTAGCTCTTCAGAAAAATCCAGATCTGTAGGATCCTCACGATCAAAGAGGTTGGTTGATGTTGAAAGGGAAAAAAGTTACTTTCCTTTTCTGATTTATTTTCTGTTTCTAAAATTGTATTTTCTGAACTTACTTCAAGCACTGTTGTTCTAAATAAACTATTTTATACTCCAAACACAAATATTTTAAAATGAAGAGGCTAATATAATAAATTCCCTTGTATGTGTCACCTTATTTAGCAATGATTAAATCATTCCAACTTTGAATTTTAAAGGAATTTTCAAAGATGGATTTAGTATGTATTATTAGCCCTTGCAATGTGTTTATCATTTCATTAGATAATAAAAAAAGAAAAGGGGAAATGTTGACTATCTTATGAGATAATACAGGTTTTTAAGTGTTAGGTGAAATTATTTAGGATGGGGAGTAGTCATCATCATAGTTGTAAGTTATAAGGGCATCAAAGAGTGATTAAAATTTCTTTTAAATTTTGAAGTAACTCATACATAAGGACTGAAACTATTTCCAGCTAAACTTAATGCCCAATATACTGTGGAGTACAGTTCTTCCTAGACGTTCATAGCTTAGTCTATTGAATTTTTGTTATTTCTAAGCAGTGGGGATGGCTCTTTGTAAACACAGCTTTCTGATTACTAATTTGGTCTCTTAAAGATCCCCTTGCTAGCTATTTTGGAATACACATGGTCTGGTCCTTCCCATCCTTAGTGAATCATAATCTTCAGTGATATGCTAGAGATACACACTTCCTTCAGTGATTCTGATACATACACATCCCTGCTTGAGAGCTACTGCTAAATCTATGCGTTATTTATGTTCTTGGAGTGTTGTTCCAGTTGTCAGAAATGACCGTAATTCTATGGACTTGATTTTTTTCATAGAAAACCTTCAGTTGTAACAAAATATGTAGAATCTGATGATGAAAAACTTTTGGATGAAAATGTGAATGAAGATGCTTCTAATGAAAATTCAGAAAATGATATTACTATGCAAACCTTGCCAAAAGGTAATCTATTAATTTTTCATATAAACTGGAAATGTATTTTTAAATATTGTTATTATAAATTTGGAACTTGGTTACCATTAGCTGTGTGTAAAGCACCAAAGTTGGCATTTTAATGATAATAGTCTAGAAATTCATTAGTATGGTAATGTGTTATTAAGGTTAAAAATCTAGAATATTCAATTAATTTTAAAAATAATAAAATAAAATTTTTTATGTTGGGATTTTCAAAAGGAGCTTAAAGTGTCCAAATTATACATGAATATGGAAGTAGTTTTAAAAGTTTAATATATTAGGGTTTTTTTTCTTTTGGCAATACTGGGGTTTGAACTCAGGGCTTTGCGCTTAGAAAGGCAGGCGCTCCACCTCTTGAGCCATGCTACCAGCCCTATATTAGGTTTTGATTCAGTGAGTGTTAACGTAATGAGTAGTCCTGAAAATTTAAAAACCATTCATAGTCCAGTTTAGACTTGCTGAATTCTTTCTTTTTCCCCCACTGCTGAAGATCAATCCCAGATTCTCCCCACCCCCGTATGCTAGTCAAGTACTTTCCCACTGAGCTATATTCCTATACCTAATTTTACTGAATTCTTAAATTCTCTAAGGCTAAGAGCCAAAGTTACCTATTAAAGGTAGATTTAGGTGCGTTTCTTGAAGTTATATGTTTCAAAACCTTGTCACATACCTCTTATCTGTTACAGTTCTTACTGTGAAGTTCTACAAACTTCGTTCATTAGATTGCTTAAGTCTGAGAGCATTGTGATTGGATGATAAGAGAATGACAAGGGACTTGGTAATTTCATGGTGTTTCAAAGAGTTAAAATTTTGGGCTTGTTTCTTTGTTAAATAATATATTCTAGCTTCCTAGGAGATTTTTAAATTTATTCTCACAGATCTTTTGCAGTATTATTAAACCTTATTCCCTGTCTGTATGTTTTTAGGACACATTTTTTAAATTATAGAAGTTTAGTAAATATTGGTGGGCAGGAGGGATTGGATTTTGCTTAACTAGGAAAGTTAGGAGTTAATGAAATATATTGAGGAAAAGAAATATAGAAAAGTAATGATGGGAAGAAGAGAGAGAGAAAGAGAATTGAAGGACCTGCCATTTACTTGGTTTTGCAAATCATCTCTATGTAATCATTTCCATAGTTGAGGGCAGAAACAACTAGCATAGGAGTCTGAGTCACAAAGGTATTGTGACTCACTTTGGATTTTTATGTTCTCAGTGGGTGTCACCAGGAGTGCTTAAGCTGTAAGAGTACTGTGCAACAAAGTCAGTATATGATGTTACTAACCCGAGCTAAGCTTAATTCTTTCGCACTAAAACAAAAATAGACCCGTTTCATAAGGTTAACTCTGGGTGGTTATTTTTATAATTCTATATTGAGAACGTATAGGTATCAGACTGTTAGAGAATTCATTCCTTTAATCCTCTAAACAACATGGCAAGGTAGTTTTTGGTATTGTTAACAGATGAAGGATCACAATCTGAGCTCAAGGAATTTTTTTCTGCTTTAAATTGAGAAGGTAGAATTTCAGGTTAGATTTCCCTTAATCCAGTGCTACTGGTGGACTTTTTCTACTATGCTACTTTGTTTCCATGTAGAAAAGACTCTTCAGGAAGGAAGAGCTCAATTATTTTTTGGTTAATTTTAGATCTTGAGCTCTTTTCTAACAATGGCACTTCTGTTAGTATCTACATGAAATAATATTTATAAATAACGATTTTGGGGGTATAGGGATTATTTAAATTAACTGTATTTTGTAAAAGCTCAATCTTCTTTGCCCTTCCCCCCTTTTCACACTTAGAAACTCATTTAAGAATGAGGTGCTATAACTTGTCAAAATCTGCTTGTCCTGTAACATAGGCCCAGGTTCCAAAGGGAGCCCTGACAACTACCTGTTTTACTGTCTTAATCGTTGTCAGTAATGGCGGATTACTAAGCCCAGCAATGTCAGTAAATGTTGAGACGTTGGATCCTTTTTATTATGCCCATTTTATTTGCCTTCTCCTAAATCCATAGGTTTTGTAGTTAAGAAAAGACATTCTAAAATATTTCAAAAGGCATCAACAAATGCCACAGTTTGTTAGAGTACTTCAGCTTAAGTATCTTAAAGTATCAGTTTAAAACTTTTTAAGAACTCTGAAGGTTAGTGAAGCTTTGACATTCTATTTGGGAAATGCTGGTATAGCAGTAAGAGAATGAACTTCATTGTTTTCCTCCCCTACTACTCTTCCCCAAAGCGATATAAACTCTTAAAAATTGTTTTCCGTTTGGATTTTAAGAATAGGATGTCTTTCTCCCTCTCCTGTCAACCACTTATTTTTATAAACTATGAAGTGTAGTGTGTTCATATTCCTAACAGATTTTGTGATACACTATAAAAATTCAAAACTGGGCTGAGACTTTCTATTTGATTTACACGTTTCTGTTATAATCAGTTCATAATACCTCCCCCTACTGTTTTTATGAACTATACTCCAGCAAGTAATCTGGTTGTTGACACCCGGCCCTTTTACTACTTCCCTGTTTTATTTACTCTTGAGATCCTTATACAAGTATTTAAAGCTTGAAGGAAACAAACTTTGTACCAGCAATGTTGGCTTTATCTGAACTGAAGTCTTGTACTTCACTTGCACATTTAATATGTGTAATGGTCTTTTAAATGAAATCATTCTAGGTACAGTGATTGTACAGCCAGAACCTGTGCTGAATGAAGACAAAGATGATTTTAAAGGGCCTGAATTTAGAAGCAGAAGTAAAATGAAAACTGAAAATCTCAAAAAACGCGGAGGTAAATACAAGTGAAACTGAAACATGAGTTTAAATTGCTGTCTCTGACCACTTTAGAAAATCTGATATGCTTACTAAAAATACCTCCACTATTCTGCCCATTGTTGATTAAAAGCACTACTTTGAAAATAACTTCTGTTGCTCTTTGAGCTCTGAAGCAGAAAAGGTTTAACACCATTTTCCCAAACACCTTTGCCTTCACTGGCTATTCAGTTATCTCAAGAAACAGCATTTCCTTCTTTCACCTATCAGTTCCAGAATACCTGTAATGCCAGAACATCACATGTTTCCCATGATCTGGAAAGAATTTCAGATTTGTACAAAGTTTTGCCTGTTGGCCTCCACGTAACTTGATACATATTCAGAACTTTGTTAAATAGAGTGATAGACATCTGTATTAGGTATTACCTGGGGTACTTATTAAAAACACAAATCCCTTTACATGAATGTGCCCCAGTTTGTTCTTCAGGTATGTGCAAGTTTTGGATCCATTGATGCAATGCGGAGATGAGTAAGAGAAAGGAGCAAAGCTAATAAACCTCCCTCTGTCTGTCTGAGCCACCTATCTGTGTCTACTCTCACTTAGAGCCAGATTTGCTAACCATCTGTGGAAAGGTAGCAGCAAGAGAAGTCATTTAGAAATTTATGGGAGTGGAATATGTGTCCTACTTGTTTGTGTGTGATTTTTAAATAGTGCCTATATAAACTTTGGGGACAGATTAACAGAGCCAAAATCTGTAACTGAAAGGAATGAATCTCCCAAAGGTAGAACATGACATGTTAATGAGGGTGTGTCCATTTAATATCAGTTGTGTTAGAGAATTGTAAAATTATGCTGAAGTTCTTAGTGAAATTTTGAGTAGATTTTTATTTCAATGATAATACTATCTTGATGGAACTAGTAAAATAATCTGTGCTTACAAAATACCAGTTTTCAGATGAAATAGTTTTAAGTTGCAGGTGAAAACCAAGGAAATGTTGTTTAGCCTTTTGTCCACAAGAGGGTGTTCAACCCCTTTCAAGCACAAGGAAGGTTTTCTGAGATTATAGTTCATGGTAGGGAAGCTGTCCTTTCAGCAACACAGGTCACCAAAGCTAAAAAAAAGCTTTTAAAGCTCTTAAAAACTTAAGAGAATCAGCACCTTCTTCTAGAAGTAGAAGGAGATGGTAAGAATCAATAACAAGAATTTGTTTCCTCTAATCATGCATCTCTCTAGGGGAGACAGACAACTCTGTGTACTGCATTGTATCAGAATTAATGTTTAAATGGTATCTTTTTAGCAGGCAATGTCTGCAACGTAGACAGGGCCTGAAAGCAGAATAAGAGAAGAACCACTGTTGTTGCAGAGGGTATTTCTAGTGCCACTTTGATATGCTTCTAGTATTTTGTTTTGGCTGGTAGGTTTCTGGAACATTTTGCCAAGTATTGTGTGTAAGAAAGCTTAAGGGAATATGTACGTTTAGCCATATGGTAGCACTTAAATCTTTCATGTTTCTTTTTACCTTAATGATTTGCTACATCTTTAAGCTGTCAAAAATCACACAGGAAATTTAATTCTAGGTTTGCAAATAGACACATGTATGAATGAGCTAGTGATCTGAGATACTGAATGGCTGTAGTTATTATTCAAAATTTTTTTAGTAAAATAAGTTACAAAATGGAAGCCTAATTTAGTAACTTGTCAAAATGTAAACTTTATATACATAACAATTTATCAGGCGTTGGTGGCTCACGCCTGTAATCCCAGCTACCTGGGAGGCTGAGATTGGGAGAATTACAGTTTGAGGCCAGCCTGCACAAATAGTTTGCAAGATCCCATTTCCAAAATAATCAGAGCAAAATGGACTGGAAGTGTGGCTCAAGTGATAGAGTGTCTGCTTTGCAAGCCTGGAGCCCTGAGTTCAAATCCCAGTCCCACCAAAAAACAAACAAAAACCAACAAAAATTGATTTGGAACAAAATTATGGCACAATGACGTAGTTAAAGTGATCATTTCAGGAACCACTTTTCTTTTTTTAAAAAACATCTAACCTATTTTGACATAGTTTCCCCAGTTGTTAAAAAATGTCACACAACTTTTCTACATGGCAAAATAATTTCGTTCTTTGCCTAAAAACTAGTAAAATGTGTCAAGCTTAGAAATGAAAATGCCTCTTTTCCAATTACTGTTAGAATCCCTAAGATATTTCATAACTAAAAAATAAAAACTTAAAACATACGTGTACAGAAACAAGTACTTACGTAAAGTAAAGTAACATTTCAACATTTTACCATATTTGCTTCAGATCTCACTTAAATAAAATATTGGTTCAGTCCTACTCTCATCTATTTTCCCTTCTTCCCACCCCACAGGTAATGATTGTCTTAAAGTTTTATGCATGTGCATGCATATGCATGTTTTTCTGTGCTTTCTTTATATGTATTTACTTAAAAACATCTATTTTTCATTTAAAAATACAAAAAATAGTATGCTGTTTATATCCTTTGGGAACATTTCTCATTCAACATTGTTTTGAAATTTATGTCAATAAATGTAAATCTAGTTTTATTTTTCATTGCTCTATAGAATGCTGACATAGTATAATTAAGTTGCTGTTTATTTCCCAAATATGAAGTTAGTTCCAATTTTTCACTTTCTAATTTTCTAATTAGGGAAGTAGTTTATATCCTCATGTATGATTCCTTTTGTACATGTTGGGGAAGTTCTCAAAGGATTACGTTGTTTTTAAAAATTCTTCAAAAGCACATTGGATGAATATTCAAACTGTGGCTGTCATTTATCTTGTCCATCTACCTGAATGAAATCATTATTTGAAATTAAAAAGTACATTGCATATTTGTTTTTGTTAAATAATACACTATATGATACCCAAGATCAAAATACCAGCATAAGAATATGATCTAAAATAAGATATTAGAACTATATATAGTAAGCCTTCAAATTCTTTTTTGATTTAGTCTTCTGAAAAAATATGATTGTATCCTTATACTTTAAACCCTTTCAACCTCTACAAATAAATATACCTACAATAATGTTTGCGTCCATGGTGCTTTGGACCTTAAAACTAACAAAGACATAAAACAGAAAATTCAGTGGTGAGAAATATATATGGTATCTTATCTTTTTTTTAGTGTAGAGACAGTTGTTTCTTTTTTTTCCCAGTTGTCTTTTATTTGTAAATGGAGACATTCTCACTGGTCTCTCAAAGCATAATCTACCATCTTATTTGGATCAAGATCTTGGTTGCACATCAGGATCATCTGCAAAAAAATGTTTCAGAGATTTCAGTTCAGTGTTGAATTGGTGGGAATGGCTTTCTATAGGATTTTTTTTTTTTGGCGGGGAGCGGGAGGTTTGAGTCAGGGCATTGCTATGCTGTCCAGGTTGGACTTGAACTCCTAGGCTCAAGGGATCCTCCTGCTTCAGCCTCCTGAGTAGATGGGACTACAGGCATGTGTCTGTATTTTTAAGAAGATTCTTCAGATGATTCTGATGTTCAGCTCAGGTTGGGAAGCTCTGTCTTAGCATAACTAGGGACAAAAGCAAGACAAGAGAAGTTTCCTTTTACTCTTTCTTAAGTAGTTTATCTTCAGTCTGTTTTTCCTGCAAATAGTACAGACTAAGGCTCTGTCTTTTCTCCTCAGCTATTCTGATGTTTTGCTGCTAAGACAGATAATGCTTATAATACTTTATTTGCAAATAATAGACATTATCAATATGGAGGAAACATGGAAAGAAGGTAGAGAAATGGGGATTAATGATAGCATTGAAGTAAATCTTAGGAAGGAAATTGGTGACATCATAAACCATATTGATAGGATCTGTGCAAACAATTCCACTTTGAAAATAAAACCTTTATGGCATGCCTAACTTAAGTATAGGATTGTTAAAGAATCTGTTCCATATATTCACTTCCCCATCCCCTAAGAACTGATACTCAATTTATTTGCAAGGCAGTAGCAGCAGGAAAAAAAGAGCTCTTGAGATTTATTTTTAGAACTTCTTTGTGGGATCTCTACTTTATGTCACTAAAAGAAAAGTTAGGATTTGTAGCTTGGAATTTGCCAACGCTGTTTTTTAAAAATGTCAATAAAATTAAGTTTTAAACTTGAGTCCAGAAATGTCATTTTCCCAAGGATTATGGGGTATTTAATTTCTAATATAGAATTTACAAAATGCTAAGGTAAATATCTTTTTCTCTGTGTGTGTAAATGTGTGAATAATGATCACTCCTTTCTTCTAGAAGATGGGCTTCATGGAATTGTGAGCTGTACAGCTTGTGGACAACAGGTTAATCATTTTCAAAAAGATTCCATTTATAGACACCCTTCATTGCAAGTCCTTATTTGTAAGGTATGTAGTGATCTGTTGATAAGGTTTTTGCCATTAGAGGGCCTTATTTACATTGTAGTTGGGATGACAGAGCTATAAAATCCTGAATAAATGCCACTGTATGGGAAATGCTGTGATTATGGACCACATAGGAAGCCTGTGTAATTAGCATTTGGGTTGGGTGGCTTTCCAGTGGAAGAAATGTAAACTGATACTTGAAATATGAGTAAGAATTAGCTTGGTGAAGTGAGATTGGTTCAACCTGTTCTAGGCAGAGGTGACACGGCATTTCTAGGTTAGAAGGTGAAGGGAGAGCCTGATATGTTTCAAAACTTGAAGTTGTATGTGCATGCATGAGTGGGCTTTCTAACCTTCCCTCTTACATACCCCGCTTCTCTAAATCTCTACGCGTAACAGAGCTTTATATAACTTGAAGATAATTTTTAAAAGGTTTCATATACATTCATTATAGTTTTAACAGTCGGTACATTTTTTTCTTTAGAATTTTTTTGACATTTTATTAGTATATATTAGTCATACAGAGGGTTTCATTGTGACATTTCCATATGTGCTTACAAGGTATCTTAACTAAATTCACCCTCTGTATCATTCTCCCACCGCCCCCCTTCTTAGAACAGTTTCATTGTTCTATTTTCATACAAGCATACAAAAGTACATCCACCATATTGGCCCTCCTTCACCCTCTTCATTTGCCCTTCTCCCTCCTGTCCCCAGATAGGACCTGTGTTACCTTACTGTTCTTCTTCTTTTTTTTTTTAAGTTCACTGGAGAAGCTTTATTTGACAGGTTAGTTGTTGTCAGAACATACTTGGGATAAACAATGCTCTTCTGTTTTTTTTTTTTTCATTTTTCTTTCATTATTCATATGTGCATACAAGGCTTGGTTCATTTCTCCCCCCTGCCCCCACCCCCTCCCTTACCACCCACTCCGCCCCCTCCCTCTCCCCCCCCCAATACCCAGCAGAAACTATTTTGCCCTTATTTCTAATTTTGTTGTAGAGAGAATATAAGCAATAATAGGAAGGAACAAGGGTTTTTGCTGGTTGAGATAAGGATAGCTATACAGGGCATTGACTCACATTGATTTCCTGTGCGTGGGTGTTACCTTCTAGGTTAATTCTTTTTGATCTAACCTTTTCTCTAGTACCTGTTCCCCTTTTCCTATTGGCCTCAGTTGCTTTAAGGTATCTGCTTTAGTTTCTCTGCGTTAAGGGCAACAAATGCTAGCTAGTTTTTTAGGTGTCTTACCTATCCTCACCCCTCCCTTGTGTGCTCTCGCTTTTATCATGTGCTCATAGTCCAATCCCCTTGTTGTGTTTGCCCTTGATCTAATGTCCACATATGAGGGAGAACATACGATTTTTGGTTTTTTGAGCCAGGCTAACCTCACTCAGAATGATGTTCTCCAATTCCATCCATTTACTAGCGAATGATAACATTTCGTTCTTCTTCATGGCTGCATAAAATTCCATTGTGTATAGATACCACATTTTCTTAATCCATTCGTCAGTGGTGGGGCATCTTGGCTGTTTCCATAACTTGGCTATTGTGAATAGTGCCACAATAAACATGGATGTGCAGGTGCCTCTGGAGTAACAGTCTTTTGGGTATATTCCCAAGAGTGGTATTGCTGGATCAAATGGTAGATCGATGTCCAGCTTTTTAAGTAGCCTCCAAATTTTTTTCCAGAGTGGTTGTACTAGTCTACATTCCCACCAACAGTGTAAGAGGGTTCCTTTTTCCCCGCATCCTCGCCAACACCTGTTGTTGGTGGTGGTGTTGATGATGGCTATTCTAACAGGGGTGAGGTGGAATCTTAGCGTGGTTTTAATTTGCATTTCCTTTATTGCTAGAGATGGTGAGCATTTTTTCATGTGTTTTCTGGCCATTTGAACTGTTCTTCATTTTTATAAGTGTGTATTGACTGCGCAAGGGTGTTTTGCCTTGGTATTTCCACACGTGTATATATTGTGCTTTAATCAGTTGAACCCCCTCTGTTACTTACTCTTTCTCTATTGCTCTGCTTCCCTGTTCTTCAACAGCTTGCAGTGTGCATACTTTTTTTTAATTAGCAATACCCTGGAATTAATTTAAAATATCTATCATACCAAGGTTATAAGTTCCCTTACTCATGTTATTGTTAAGATTAATTCTGTGTTTGGCAATAAAAACCCACCTTTGGAATGCAGGGGCAGGCCATATTTTCCTTCTGTTTGAGCACTAGATTTTTTTCTTGCATGAAGCTTTGATAGATTCTGACCTGCTTTCCTGTACTAAATTTTGTCCTTTAGCAACTTGTTTCTTTTTTTTCCTTGAATTCACCTTAGCTAGAGGCCTATCTAGGATACATGTTGTAATGTCTGGTTTTTAATTTTGACAGTTGAATCTTGTATTGCTGGATTCATAATTTGCTATCTTTTTATGCATATGTGTGTATATAGTACATACATATATACATACATATGTACACACACACATATGTAAGTGATTTTTTTTCATGGGCCAATCTATTGAGCCTAGATCATTTCAGTAACCAACAGTTTATATCAGTAGGCATGGTTCCTTCCCTTTTTCATTAGGAATTTGAAGTCAGTCAGACTTACATTTAAATACTGCTTTGTCTCCCTAGCTGTATTAGTTATTACTTATATGTATTAATGAACCGTAGCCTTTTCCCTTATAAATAGCTCATACCTTGTATGGTAGATATTTTGAGATTTAAAGATAATTTAGATTCGTTGTTTAGCTGAACACATAGTAGCTATTTACATAGGGTGACTATTAAAATTAAGGAGCAACAATATCTAATACATTTTTATTAGTGTGTATTAATTGTACAACATGGAGGTTTTGTTGTGATATTCTCATACATGAATATAATATACTTTGAACATATTCACATCCACTATTACTTTATCCTTCCTCTCCTCACCCATTCTTTTTAAAATCTTTCTTACAATTTTTAAAAAATGGGTTTCAAAGCTGAAGATGTGGTAAAGCACCTGCTTAGCAAGTTGGAAGCCCTGTGTTCAAACCCCAGTACTGCCAAAAATTGGGTTTCATTATGACCTTTTCATACATGCATACAAGTGTGCTTTGATTATACCCTTTTTCTTCTCATCCTCTTTCCCCCTTCCCACCAGTCCTCCACCCCATGTCTCCCATTTATGTTTATATATCCATGATTTTCTTTAAGTCTACATTTTTATGTAGGACTTTGGTAGCTAGTTGTATGAGACCAGAAATTTGCTTACTAAATAAAATCTTTCATATCCTCTTTTTTTTGGGTGGTACTGGAGTTTGAACTCAGGGCCTTGAGCTTGCTAGGCAGATACTTTACCGCTTGAGTCATGCCTCCAGCCCTTTCTGCTTTAGGTATTTTTCAAATGGAGTCTTGAATTTATGCCCCTGAACACCTGGACTGTGATCTTCCTGTTTATGCTTCCTGTATATCTGAGATGACAGGCTCATGCCACCATACCCAACTTTTATTGGTTGAAATGGGGTCTCGCAACTTTTTTTTTGCCCAGGCCAGCCTTGAACCACCATCCTCCCAATCTTTGCCTTCCACTTAGCTTGAATTACAAGCGTGAGCCACTGCGCCTCACTTTTACATAAGGAATACTGGTGCTTGGTGATAGGAAAATCTATTTCAAGGAATCAGGTTTTTTTTTTTGAGCTATTCCTGTGTGTGGAAAATATTAATATCGGGTAGTGCAGTGTTTTTTCTTTGACTGTCTAAAACATATATGTTCCTTTTAGTTTTTTAGTGACTTAAAAATAAAGTTTTTGTTCTTTTTGAATGTTGCTAATTTTGAGTAAAATTTCCCCTTCTTTTCTTTCAATAGAATTGTTTTAAGTATTACATGAGTGATGACATTAGCCGTGACTCAGATGGAATGGATGAGCAATGTAGGTAGGTAAATAAATCAAGATGACCTAATATTCAGCATGGTCTACTTTTTTGGGGGAATTCTTATTGTAATAGAGCCATCTTCTGTAGTATCATCATTGGTAATCTTTAGTTGATGGCCGTTCTTTTCTGTAAAGCCTTGTATATGTCTAGTTTTGAGTTTCTGATAAAGAATAGCAGATGACCTAAATTAGTATTAAAAATTGCTGGTAGGAAAATTTAAATTCCTTTAATAGTAACAAAGTTAAAATTAAGCTTCCTTGGAAATAATATTTTAATCCTTAAAACATTTCAGATGGTGTGCAGAAGGTGGAAACTTGATTTGTTGTGACTTTTGCCATAATGCCTTCTGCAAGAAGTGCATTCTGCGCAATCTTGGTCGAAAGGAGTTATCTACAATAATGGATGAAAATAACCAATGGTATTGCTACATTTGTCACCCAGAACCTTTATTGGACTTGGTCACTGCATGTAACAGTGTATTTGAGAATTTAGAACAGTTGTTGCAACAAAATAAGAAGAAGATAAAAGTTGACAATGAAAAGAGTAGTAAAGTATGTGATCATGCACCCAAATTTTCTCCAAAGAAGAATAGTACAAATTGTAATGGAGAAGATAAGAAATTAGATGATTCATGTTCTGGTTCTGTAACCTACTCTTATTCTGCACTAATTGTGCCCAAAGAGATGATTAAGAAGGCTAAAAAACTGATTGAGACTACAGCCAACATGAATTCTAGTTATATTAAGTTTTTGAAGCAGGCAACAGATAACTCGGAAATCAGTTCTGCTATGAAATTACGTCAGCTGAAGGCTTTTAAATCTGTGTTGGCTGACATCAAGAAGGCTCATTTTGCATTAGAAGAAGATTTGAATACTGAGATTCGAGCTTTGGATGTATTACACAAAGAAAAAAATACCAAAGAGTATAAAGTCATGGATGCTAAGTCTGAAACAAAAGTACGAAAAGGAGAAAAACCCTGTTCTTTGGAAAAGAAGGATCTTTCAAAGTCAGAAGTTAAACCATCAAGAAAACAGGTAGATAGTGAGCACATAGATCAGAGTGGTGCACCAGCAGAGGAACAACGAGCAAATAAAAGTACCAGTGGTGAACACAAGAAGTCTGACAGAAAAGAAGAACCTCAATATGAGCCTGCTAATACTTCTGAAGACTTAGACATGGATATTGTGTCTGTTCCTTCTTCAGTGCCAGAAGACATTTTTGAGAATCTTGAGACTGCTATGGAAGTTCAGAGTTCAGCTGATTATCAAGTTGATGGCAAGAGTAGAACCGAGCAAGAACTGGAGAGCTCATCGGTAAAACTAAATGCTCCTTCAAAAGACAACAGAGGAGGTATTAAGTCCAAAACCACAGCTAAAGTAACAAAAGAATTATATGTTAAACTCACTCCTGTTTCACTTTCTAATTCTCCAATTAAAGGTGGTGATTGCCAGGAAGTTCCACAAGATAAAGATGGTTGTAAAAGTTCTGGTCTGAACCCCAAGTTAGAAAAATGTGGACCTGGGCAGGAAAACAGTGATAGTGAGCATTTAGTTCAAAATGAAGTTCCATTACTTTTAGAAGAATCTGATCTTCGAAGATCTCCACGAGTAAAGACTACCCCTTTAAGGCGACAGACAGAAATAAGCCTTGTAACATCTAATTCAGATGAGGAAAGTAATGAAACAGTTAAGGACAAACAAAAATTGTTAGTTCCAATTAAAAAAAAGGATAAGCGAAATTCTTCTGACAGTGCTATAGATAATCCTAAACCTAACAAATTGCCTAAATCTAAGCAATCAGAGATTGTGGATCAGAATTCAGATTCTGATGAAATGCTGGCAATCCTCAAAGAGGTAAGCAGAGTGAGTCATAGTTCTTCAGACACTGACATTAATGAACCTCATACCAATCTTAAGACTTTGTATAGTTTAAAAACCCAAACAGGGAAAGATGATAAAGGAAAAAGAAAACGGAAAAGTTCTACTTCTGGGTCAGAATTTGATATTAAAAAAGGCAAATCGGCTAAAAGCTCTATAATCTCTAAAAAGAAACGCCAAAACCAGTCTGACTCTTCTAATTATGACTCAGAGTTAGAAAAAGAGATAAAAAGCATGAGTAAAATAGGGGTTGCCAGAACAACCAAAAAAAGAGTTTCCAATAAAAAAAGATTATGATTCTTCCGAAGATGAAAAGCATAGCAAAAAAGAACTGATAGTCAAGGACCAAAAAGTATTGAAGACTCACAAGAGGGATCGTCTGATGATGCTGAGAGAAAGCAAGAGAAAAAGTCTCTGTCTTCAGCAGAAGGTGCAGTTGAGAGAGACAAGGCCTTCACAGGATTAAAAGATCGACCTTTGAAGAAGCAGATGCCACGTGTTTCCTCTGATGGTGCTGATAAGCTGCCTTCTGGCAAAGAGGAGAGTTTAAATTCCCCAGAAGACAAAATTATTTCTAAAACTAAAGAAAAGAATAAGCACCTGAAAACCAAAACATGTAAAAAAGTACAGGGTGGCCTATCTGATGCTGTTGACAAATTCCCAAAGAAAGAGCAGAGTGATGAATCCTCTGAAGATGATAAAAAGCAGATCAAAAAGGAAAGTGAAGAAAAGAAAAGAAAACTACAGACTTGAAGAAAAAAGTAATTAAGATAGAATCACAGTATGAATCATCGTCATCTGATGGTATTGAGAAATTACCTGAGGGAGAAGATTGTCAGTATACTAAAATCATAACACAAAGTAAGAATGATATAACTGATGGTGAAAAAAAAGGCAAAAAACTAAAAGATAAAGTGTCTAAAAAGAAGGACGAATTATCTGATAATGTTGAGAAATTACCAGGGAAAGGGGATAGTTGTGACTCTTCAGAAGATAAAAGGAGTAAGACTAGAGCATCTGCTAGAGAAAAGAAAAAATGCATTTTGCCTCAAAAAGGTCCAAGGAAGAGACAAGAGTGTTCATCATCCGATACTGAGAAATATTCCGTGAAAGAAGATGGTTGTGACTCTTCTGAAAAGAGACTGAAAAGAATAGAATTGAGGGAAAGACGAAATTTGAATTCAAAGAGAAATACTAAGGAAATACAAATTTGCTCATCATCTTCTGATGCCGAGGAAAGTTCTGAAGACAATAAAAAGCAGAAGAAACCAAGAACTTCAGCTAAAAAGAAGGCTGGCAATATCAAGGAGAAAAAGAGAAACTCCCTAAGAACGAGCATTAAAAGGAAGCAAGCGGACATTACTTCCTCATCTTCAGATATAGAGGATGATGATCAGAATTCTATAGCGAGGGAGCAGTGATGAAACAGAAAATTAAGCCTGTGACTGAAGTTTAGTGCTCTCTTCCCACACTGGATTTTGCCAATCTTCAGGTATGCAAAAATAAATTAAAACTTTAGAATTTGTAATTTCCTCCTTGAGTAACTATTATTTCATTTTCCCTGAAGCCAATCAAATTCAGGATTACTGTTTAGATAAAGTCCATATACTATAAGCCTTTCTCCATTTATTTTTTTATTAGCATATATTAATTGTACAAAAGTGTTTCTTTGTGATATTTCTGTACATGTATATAGTATACTATGATCATACTCACCCTCTTCTATCACTCTTTTCCTCCCTCCTACCTTCATCCTTGTAAAATAATTTTTAATGGGTTTCATGGTGGTATTTTCATACATGCATGTAATGTACTTCGATCATATTCACCCCTCCCATCACCCTTTGCTTCCCTCTCCTACTGGTTCCCTCCACCAAACAGTCCCCCTTTTATTTTCATGTCATATATATTTTTTCCCCTTCATTTATTTTTATGTCATCCTTGGAAGGTATTTCAAACATTGTTAGTATTCTATGACAGGCATACCAGATTTCTTGGATAAATAAGAAAAGTTCCTGTCAATGTTGAATACTTTCTCTGGAATATGGGCAGTAGTTTTATGAAGGAAAATCAAACTGGCACCAGTAGTTTAGTAGGTATTCATGTAATTGAGATGAGTGTTTGATACTGGTATAACATAGTGTGTGAAAGTTTTGACTTGATTGCTTTTTAAGTTGGAATAAGCAACTTTGTGCCCCAGGGAATCCCCTGAGATTTTTTTTGGTGGTGTTGGGGATCGAACCCAGGGCCTCATGCACACTAGTCACACGATCTACCACTGAACTGTATCCCCAGTCCTCTCCCGAAACTAAGTTTACTTTATTGAAACCCTTTGTCAATAATATCAAGTAGTTTCTAATGATATGAACAGTTGTTTCTCCTCTAAAAACACTACCAAAATAAAGGAAGAAAAGATAAAAAAGAAAAAAGGAAATCCAAAAAGTAGATGGATTGCTCTACCCTGATGAGATAGAGCACTAGGAACATTAGGGTTGGGGTCATCTGGTCAATGATACCAGGAAAAATATTTTTAAAAAACTAATTATATCATTACTAGAGTTTTAAAAAAATGTGTACAATAAAGCGCACTGGCACTTGTGTTGCATATTTTTTTAGTCAGTAAGACCTGTCAGTTAATTTGGGTCACTTAGAATTTATTTAAAAAATTTTATAAAGGAAATTTCACATGAAACTGTTCCCAACATAGGCAGAATTTAATTTTTTTCCCTTCATTCCTTATGTTAGTGTTTTCCTATTTATTCCAATTGGATTTTAATGGAATTAACTTCAATCTTATTTTTAAATTGAACTTTAAATTTCTTTTTGGAGCACTTACCACTTGATTTGAAAACCAAGTGTGATATGCATGCATGGTGTGTGCTTCAGTTTAATGCTTTTTATGTTGGTGCACTTGGAAGGAACCCTGCCTGTGTGGCTATTGTACCGATAGGTCCCTTGCCCCTTCACTAAAATTCTTGGATCCAGATGTGCTTCAACATTTACAGTTTTATGGTTTTTAGAAGGGTAATGTAGAGTAGTTAATATATGCATGTATTATAAAAGTCTCAGTGAGCCTAATCAAACTCTTAATATTTATGCAGTAAAAGATTTGAACATTCATACTTAGAGGGATAAATACTTCAGATGAGGGCGTTTGGAAAAACCAAGTGAGCTTTTTTGTACCACCTTACAAAAACTTGCAATTTGAGAGGTTTTTAAATTTCAGGATTGTATATAAAGGATTGTGAATTGTATTAAAAATACAGTATGTGATAATTGATAGCAAATAGTTCTAGTTATCAGGTTAGTTGGATAAACTTAAATTAAGCACACCTGAAAGCGATTAGAGTAGAAAGATAATAAAAATTTTTTGGTGGTACTGGGGTTTGAACTCAGGGTCTCATTCTTGCTAGGCAGGCCACCTCTACCACTTGAACCACTCCACCAGCTCAATAAATTGTTATTTGCTTGTAGGATATTCCCATTAAGCAAACTGTAGGCTATTGAACTAATCTTAAACTTTGGAAAATTGATTTCTGTGATAGACAGCTTCCCTGGTCGAAAATCTTCATATTTTTTCAAATATTTTGCTACTTTTCATTTCTGAAAATCTTACTTGATTTTACATACATAAAAGTTTTTGTGATATACTTCTTATGTTTGGAACTATTAATACTTGAGTGATATTCCTTTAGTAGACCTTAAGAAGAGATGGTAACATACAGCAAATACTCAAAGGATGTGTCTTTCATTTATCCCTTCACCCAACAGAGTCTAGATTGATTGTATCCAGTTTGATTTATAACCTTGAATCTGAAGACTAGGGGCTGATATAGGTGGTAAAGTTTTCTCATCTATATACCCAGATTAGGTGGTAAAGTTTTTCTCATCTATATACCCAGAAGAAGCCCCTAACTATCCATCACTTCATCAGATGTGAATCCTTCAAGTGTTTGGTGGAGCAAACCTTGTTGTTTGGGAATTTTCTTTATCCTGGATACTTCTTGGGACTACATGGATTATTTTGTATGAAAAAAAGAATACAAATTTGCTGGGGATTGTACCAATCAAAAACTGGGCTTTTGCTATATAAATACTTAATCAGAACAGAGCATAAGGGCTTTGAAAATAAGTACTATATAGAAAGTACTGTTTTTTAAAAGTTAATCTTGGGTGTGAACCAGTGATAAATGACATTCTTTAAAGATGTACTTGTACAGCTGGCGGAGTGGCTCAAGCCATAAGAGTTGCCTTATGTCAGGCCCTGAGTCCCAAACCATTAGTGCCCCCCCCAAAAATAAATAAAAATGTACCTGTATGATTATGTAACATATGCTGAATTTCAATATTCTGATAGCCCAATTTAATTTTAGGGACAATTTTAGCGAGATACTATAAAGCCCCTTTTCCTAATGAGTTCAGGATCTGATTTATTT